GTTCATTGATTTAAATCTTATCACAAAACCATAAGCAAATTTCACATATGTGTGTGTGTGTGTGTGTGTGTTTGTGTATTCTACATACATATATATACTACATATACAACATATATATACTACAAGTATAGAAAGCCATGTGTTGGGAACAAAGCAGTTGGATACTGAAAGATGAGCAGTCTTGCCTTTAGCTATATTTTGTAGTGTGATCTCTTTAGCTGTTGATAAATCTCTAAATAGCATTAAAATACCAGAAGTACATTTATACTGGAGTGAGAAAACACTGTAAACATTACCAATTCATATTTGTATCAGAGTTTTCATGACTAGGAAATTTTCTAAACAGTATAATAACTATAGAAAAAACGTATTTTATGCCTGTGAAAAATGTGACAGAACAAAAAAATATTGATGTAGAAATAGATATAGTACAACAGAAAATTACAAGGAAGGGCACATAAAAGAATTAAGAGAACAATGCTATTGTTTCTCAGTTACGGACTAAAGCACCTGTTAATTTTGGAACATTCAAGCAAAATATCAGTCTTGATTATAAACTACCTATTCGTGATGAGGATTTTTGAATCCTTTTATCTTTTCACACAGTTACAAAATTTACTTATACCTTTATGCATTGTGCATTTCTTTGCCGAGATGAATATGATGTCCAGTTGATTTTGGTGTGGGTGACTGAAAGTTCCCAGTGCAGGGTGCTGAATGTGGTGCGCGATGCTCTTTGATCATTTTTATTAATTTCTGTTTGACACTCAATTTCTGAAAGCTCTATGTCTTTAATAAATTCCTTGGTATCTTGGACTTTATTCAGAACAATACCAAATCTTGACTATTTTATGACTAGCCATGCCAATATTACTATCGTCATGATCATGAACCTTAATCTTGGGTACCCTAACCACCTGTGCTATAAATGATATCATCTCTACCAGCATCTCAAAATTTTTATGCTGAAACTAGAAGCTTTCAATAAATGCAGTTGTGGGCTGCTGTCCTTCTGTAGTTGTGACATGACTAGTATAGAAGCCATGGGAGTACTGATCTACTGTGTAGTTCTTTTATGTAATGTCACAATATTCTCTCCAAGACCTAAGGCCCTTATCTACCTCCACTGGTTATGGGTCACCTCTGCCCTCTGTAAGTGAGCAAACAAAAGAAATTTTATTTGGGGGTCAAAAAACTACTATTAGTGTAAGGTGATATCTCATTGTGGTTTTGATTTGCATTTCTCTGATGATTAGTGATGTTGAGCACCTTTTCACATACCTGTTGGCTACTTGTGTGTTACCTTTGCAGAAATGTCTATTCAGTTCCTTTGCCCATTTTTAGATCATTTTGCAGGGGCTCTTGAGTTGAGGGAGTTCTTTATATATTTTGAATTTAACCCTTTATCAGATATATGGTTTGCAAATGTTTTAACCAATTCATAGGTTGCCTTTTCATTTTGTTGATTGCTTCCTATGCTGTGCAGAAACTCAATAAAGTGACTAAAAATCAAAACAAAACAATGCAAAGCTGCTGCTACTTCCTATGTCACCATATTCTGTAGTTAAGGCCTTATCCACTATCGTCTTATCTTCACTGGTGAGGGCTGATCCATTTTCCATAGAAAATAAATGAACTGTGCCTTCCATGAGAGAACATCATTATTAAGTAATAACCTGACATCATTAAACACGGCATTAAATTCACTTAGAGGCATAACAGTAGTTTGTGCAGGTATGTGTACCTTCTTTTAATGCAACACCTGATCCTTGAAGATGACCATCTTGTGCTAGTTTCACCCAACTGGGACACTGGTATGACAGAGATGGGAAGGAAGCCTCCCACTTGACATTCTAAAATGTAAGAGGGAAAGTTACAGAAAATAAAGTCACTTAGTAATACAATGTACATAAAGGTTATTTAAAATATTTAGGGGCTCATGAATTCATTCCACTGAAAAGGAGTGAGCAAGGTTGTTTCCAAAAAACCTAGAGGAGAAACCCAATAAACAAAAGAGGTTAAATGGTACCAAACATTAATCAGAATTCAGAAATATCTTTTATGTAGACCAAAAACTTTCTCACCAGAAATACAGGAATTTTCCCTTATAATAGTTGCTAAATTGAGTAAAATTTTAAGTCTAAATACCTCATTAATTTCCTTCCCTATATAAGAGCAGATGTTTGGAAGAAGAAATTATGCTCTAGCCAAATGAATTCCAAGAATGTAACTTCTTTTCTCCTTGATTTCTAGCTGCACAGCTGGGTCCTATTTCATCGCTCATCTCTGGAAGTGTTCAGAGATTGGATGGTGACTTATGAGAGACATTCTAGGGGAACTTTGAGTTCAGATGGGTAAGCTCTTCATGTGGTCTGCAAATCATGTGTGCAATTTTGAGTTTCCATGATTTATTATTTCTACATCTATAGTTTGGTCCTCAGAAGCTCATGGGCCAGGAAAATAAAAACTGGACATGGGTGAGTGAGTTCATTCTGTTGGGGCTGTCCAGTGACTGGGAGACTCAGGTCTCCCTCTTTGTCCTGATCTTGGCCATGTACTTGATGACTATTGTGGGAAATTCCATCATTCTTCTTCTGATTAGATTGGACAGCAGGCTTCATACCCCCATGTACTTCTTCCTTAGTGTTCTGTCCTTTGTGGACCTTTGTTATTCAAACAGTATTGCCCCACAAATGCTGGTTTCCTTGCTCTTAGCCCCAAAGTCCATCCCATTCCACAGCTGTGTGCTCCAGCTCTACACTTCCCTGGCATTGGGAGGGTCTGAGTTCTTCCTGCTGGCAGCCATGGCCTATGACCGCTATGTTGCTGTGTGCCACCCACTGCACTACACTGTCATCATGCGTGGACAGCTGTGCTGGGGGCTCGCTGCTGGCTGCTTGGTGGCTGGTTTCACAAATTCACTGCTGGAAACAATCATCACCTTCCGGCTTCCCCTGTGTCACAATATTATTAACCACTTTGCCTGTGAGACTCTGGCAGTACTACGGCTAGCCTGTGTGGACATCTCCTTCAACAAGGTCATGGTGGCCATCTCAGGATTCCTGGTGATCATGCTGCCCTGTTCCCTGGTTCTGCTCTCCTATGCTCATATAGTTGCTGCCATTCTGCGCATTCGCTCTACTCAGGGACGTAGCAAAGCCTTTGGGACTTGTGCCTCTCACCTCACTGTGGTTTGCATGTGCTTTGGGGCTGCCATTTTCACATACCTGGGGCCACGCTCTGCCTCCTCAGAGGAAGAGGAGAAGGTGGTTTCTCTATTCTATGCTGTGGTGGCCCCCATGTTGAACCCTTTGATCTACAGCTTGAGGAATAAGGAAGTTATGGGTGCTCTCCAGAAAGTTACAGAGAAATTCAGATAAAGGGCCCAGACTCTACAAGCTTCTCGCTATCTATCATCAAAACCAAAAAGAAAATCAGATAAGTGTAGAAAGGACTCCCACATTTACACTGAAGACTATTATGGTCAGATCCTTGCATTCAAATAAAGTATTCCTCCACATGCCTAATGAATTTCCTTATATAGGATAATACCTGATAATTTCATGTCAGTAATCCATGAGATGGCCTCTTCTTAGATCATCTTCTCTCAGCATCCAGTGATTTTTGGACTTCATCTTCCCACTTTTGATTTTATCAGGATGACAATGTATAAATGAATGATCTCCAGCTTTATCATGCAGGACCTGGTTTCTGATCCTTGCTCTGCCTCTCACTGTGTTATCTGGCAAGTTATTTTAATATTTTATGGCTTGGACTTTTGTTGTTGTTAAATAAGAAAATAGTACCTAGCTTCCAGAGGGGTTGTAAATATCAGGGTTAATTTGCATAAAATGCCTGCCATGCAGTTGAAACTGTAAAAGGCATTCATTATCTTAAGCTATGCAAACTTCACTTCTTCATTATGAATATACACAACACTTTTACTTTTCCTACTCCTATGAATGCTCCAAATTGTCAGCTAGTTGAAATATGTTCTGACCTTACCATAAAATGTAGCAAATAAGTGTGCCTTTCCTTGGGAATGACTTCTAGAAATTATTGGTTCAATAAATTAGGACATTTTGGGGTTTCTGCTGAGCTCTGACCCTTCCTGACAAGAGAGTTTTATACTAATTATAAATAAACAATGCAAAAATGTATGATGTGCTTGTTTTAACTTCATAACTGCAATTCTAAATGTATTTGTAAAAATGATCTGAGCTCTCCAAACTTTGCAATTAAGACATCTTCTATATAGCCTTAAAACTATGACGAAGTTAAGCAAATTTCTGGTAAAATTACAATATTCAAAAGAATTTATACTGACTCAGTTTTCTATCAAATTGAGATGTGTATGTGTGTGTGTGTGTGTGTGTGTGTGTGTGTGTGTCTGGGGTGGGGGAGTGGGGATATTGACCATAAAACAAATAAAAATTTGTAGCATTAATTTATTTATAATGTCATTTTAAATAACTTGAAAAAAAGGAGTAATTTCTAGAAGGGTAAAGTTTACTTTTGCAAAATTAGGGGAAAAATTCTAATCCCACCGAGGTAATTCATCATTATAACTATGCCTTCTTTTAATGCTTAATCCTTCATGAGGTAACTTTCACTATTCCTCTTTTTTTCTTAAAAGGCTCCTATTCTTCAACATTTCAATTCTCTATGCAGCTAATATACAAATATATTTTATAATTTGATTCCAACCTAAACTTAGAGATATTTTGGGTACTTGACTTATGTCTTTTCAATGGGAAAAATCTCTAGTTGCTACTTTGGAAATTGTTGAAATATTTTGTTTCACATTACGCAGTGATCTGTTACGGGCAAGAATTTTGTCTTTCCCATCCTGTAAACCTAGTGCCTGGCAAAGTCAAATCTCTAGTTGCTACTTTGGAAATTGTTGAAATATTTTGTTTCACATTACGCAGTGATCTTTTACGGGCAAGAATTTTGTCTTTCCCATCCTGTAAACCTAGTGCCTGGCAAAGTAAATAGTACATAATAGCAAACCCATTAAACATTACTAAGTAAGAGAATAAAAGAATTGATCTTTTGTTACTAGCCAAACACTTTTTTTCATGTAATATTTTCATGACATAAAATTATTCCAGTGTTCTATACCTAGGTAACAACATTTCCTTCTGTTTTCTCAATTAGAAGTTTTTATTAGAGAGTGATGTTATAACGCCAACGTTGAGGATTTGAATCCTCTACTGGCCAGCTGCAAAAACAAGGAAAAAAGCAAGAGAAAAAGGTTTTAGAGGCTGTGGTATAAATTTGCAGTACAAAATGATTTAAGACATCATTACACTGTACAGTAAGAGCTGCCAGTAGAGAATTTTAAAATGCCATTGAAATCTAATTGAAAAAAAAAATGCTGAATTCTATGTACTGAGAGGAAAGAAATAACAGTTGGAAATAATTAATGATTTTGGAAAATCATTTAATCATTCTGGATCTTTGTGGTTTTCTCAATTGAAATGATAGAGAGATAGATCCTATGGTTTCTGTTCTCTAGCACCACCACTTTATTACTTTACTTTATCACTTGCTGGAAGATGAAAAATTGGAGCATGAGTGAAATGGAGTCCGTGACACTGGGAGTCATTTTTTTCCCCACAGATCTATAGTATCCTAAGACCATAAGGAATGGGCTAGAAAAGGAACATGTGCTTATTTCATTAATTTGGTTGCCACAGCATGAGCTCACTCAGATGTGGAGAAAAGCCTTTCTAACCCAGTAAGGACAACAGTAAAAATAACTGCAGACCATGGAAGAGACAGAGATCAATTTAGTAGGTTTCATTCTTACTACCTTGAGTCAAGAGAAGTTAGATTGTCAAAACAGGGAAATGTGAGCCAATACTTTTTGGAAGACAAGGGTTTTTCTTACTCCAACTAATCAGTCATATACTTGTTAACAGTGGCAGGAAAGCATTTTCTGGAAGAAAAAGGACATACCGGGGAAAAAAAGACTCACACTCCCCTAACTCTGTGGTCAGAAATTCACTTAAGTGTTCTGTATTGCAACTTTACACTACTGAAACAGAGCCAGGCTAAAGCACAGACTAGATGTGAAACGACTCATTCTTGTGAAGCAGCTTTAAAAACACAGTGGAAAATCATGCAGAGTCCATTTACTCTGCTGAGGTTTTGTTCCTTCTTTTCTCACTTGATGGGCTGTTGAATGACACAACTAATTATGTAGATTGAAATCATCCAGATATTCAGTTTCAATTTTAAGCCAACAAACTAATGATGAAGAAATAAATAGCACTGTGTCTGTAGGGGAGATGATCACATGCTGGAAAGCCATCTTTTATACGGTATCAATTGAAAGATGTTCCTCATGAAACAGACAAATAAAGATAGGCAATAATTATTAATGCATTTATATCAGCCAATTCATTTTAGACTTTGAGAGGCAAAAAATCTAAGAAATAGTGGTTTAAATAAAGCATAAATTAAGTTAGACTTAGGCAAGGCAAGGCTGCCTAATTTGCAGTTACAGAAATTGAGGTTTCTTCTGTATTTCTAATCCATCACTTCAGAGAGATAGCATCTACCTCAGGGCCCAAGGAGTAGCTTGAGTTCCAGCCAACACGTTCACATTCTGGCCATCAAAAATAAAGAAGAAAAGAGCAGACCCATTTCCTTTAGAGAAACTTTCAAAATTCATATACAACATCACTGCTTAAACTCTACTGACTGAAAGGAATTTAGTCACTTGATATATACACACACACACACACACACACACACATATGTAGTGATCATGTGCTAAGCTAAAAGAAACTCATAGCTTATGATGCTAAGAAAGAATGGAAGAATAAATATTGAAGGATCTAACAATTTCTGACCATTGAACTTGCAAGAAAATTAAATACATCAACTCAACAAAAGATGAAGTGTTAGGACATCAGAATGAGATACAGAAAGAGCTAGGAGGATTACAGGTAAGACTGGAATATATATGTATATATATAAAAATCATTATTTAAGATTTAATACCAAACATTAAAAGCAGTAAAAAGCAAAATTAACAATATCAAGAAGTTAATCCCTTACTTGGAATAAAAAAAGAACACATATCAATATGGACAAAAATGATACAACATATGAATAATTGGTATTTCTGATGAAGAGAAAAAACTCAGTAAAAAGATATTCTATTTCCATTTATAATGAATAAAAATATTATTTAAATTAAAAAGAATTTATTATTTAGGTTAAAAGACCTCACTATGTACCTGCAAATTAAAGTGAACATATATATATATATATATATATATGTTGATGAAATGACCGAATTTTAAGTATAATGAAAGAATTACAAAAATACAGGAAATAAATAAAGCAAAAAGATTACTTAGAAAATTGTTAAGCTAGTGTATTGGTTTTCTATTGCTGTGTAACAAATTGTCATAAATTTAGCAGCTTAAAACAACACAAATTTATTATTTTAAAGTTTCTATTGGTCAGAAGTCCAGGCATAGCACAGCTGAATTCTGAGCGCATAGTCTCAGAAGGCTCAAATCAATGTGTCAGCTGCACAACACAAATTTATTATTTTAAAGTTTCTATTGGTCAGAAGTCCAGGCATAGCACAGCTGAGTTCTGAGCGCATAGTCTCAGAAGGCTCAAATCAATGTGTCAGCTGGGGTCTTCTTCCAAACTCACTGGTTGTTGGAAGGATTTATTTTCTTGCATCTGTATGATTTAGGTATCTATTATCTTGCTTACTGTTGGCCGGTGACCACTCTAAACTCCTAGAGGCCACTGTCAAGATCTTGCCACATGGCCCTTTTCTCTCACAACATTTCAGTTAGCTTCCTCAAGACTCAAATCTCTTCTGTCTCAAATCTATCTGACTGCTGGGAAAGCCTGAGCACCTTTAAAGGGCTTACCTGATTAAGGCAAGCTCACCCAGAATACTCTTCCTTTTGAGAAAATCAAATTTGACTATTAATTTTAAAAATCTCTCTTTTCCATATGGTGTAACATTATAATGGGAGTGAAATGCCATCGCATATCACAAGTCCTGGTCACTCTCAAAAGTAAATGATTGTACAGGGCATATACAAGAGGCAAGAATCTTAAAGGCCAACTTAGAATTCTGAGTATGACAGCTAGAATCAATCTCTGAAATATTAGATGACAGAAGAGAATGGAATATTATTTATCTACAGAATCCTGAGAGTGAATATCATTAAATAAAAAATCCTATACCAAGTTAGGACATCATTCACTTTTAAAGGTGACAGAAATACATATTTACATATGCAAAAAGTCAATAATATTATTACCCATTTGTCCTTCATGAAGACTGTAATAATTACAACAAAAAAAATGTGAAAACAACTTTAGGCAACAAAAG